TGCACGGATTGCGGCAACCGTGCAGGTGTTTGGCATCACACCTGCAATGAGGTGACCCTGCAGCAAGCAGAAGGTGCGGTTGCTGCCATTCTTTGCTGCCATTCTTTGCTGTCCTTTTAGTGTACTTGGGTTCTCTTTCTCAGGACAGTTGACCTTGTGCAGGGATTTCGACAGCTGTGCAGGTACTCGTGCAGGTGAAGTGGTGGCACTTGCCAATGAGGCGACGGCATTGTTTTCTGCACGGTTACATCCTTCCATAAGTCTATTTATATTCATGCCTAGAGGCTAGAGCTCAATGTGCACTTCGGTTTGTCTTCTCTTGGTCGAACTGGGTGCTATTTTTTGACAATGAATTTGGGAAAAGAGAGAGGAATCAGTATTGTGGGAAGGATCTTTTGGTTTCCGTGCTCAAAACCCGGGTGTACGCCTACCATCAACATAATTTGAATATGGCTGGTCCACATCCACACTTTGGGACCCCGCAGCCCTTAGAGCAGTCGGTCAGTCGGTGGGGCCGAATGTTGAAATTGGGTCCGCACTGTGTTGGGTGAACATGCCAATTCCAGCTGTCGAACTATACAACAATTTCCCAAGGAAGCGGTAGCTTACCATGGACATTTTAAACCCAGGTTTTTGTTCAAGCTTGTGTTGGGAATAGGACTGAAGCTTGATCCTCTTGATCTTATCTTGCTGCTTTGTTGACATTTTGGGGATGTCACTGTTGAGCATGGAATTATCATATTATCTTACAAAAAAACAGCAGAGACAGACAGATCAGCTTCTTTGTGTGATTTGATAGCATTTGATAGCATTTGTACTGTTAGATCACATCCAGGTGAACCGGAAACAAGGACATTCTATGGGATTCCTCCACTGGTAAGGGGGATGTTGGAAATCACACTGCCTTGTTTCGTTCGGAATATACCTGGAATTGCCGTGGAACTCTCAGGGCGTTCCTCGGCACTTAAGAGCCATGATGTTTTGTATTGTTTTGTTTGTTTACCAAGTCTGCATCATACATGCCATGATACAACACAATCTTCTTGCTTGTACTGAAAGGTGTTAAGTAGAGGCTTTGGTGGGTTCCACTCTTTTTCGATCAACAGCAGACCATTTAGGTTGCACATGAGAACCGCTAGTTAGTGAAAGAGGGCTCATTTTTTGCAATCTCTGGTCGAGGTGCAGAATGCGTATATAGTGCTTTTGCCTTGTTCCAGGTCCTTTGTTTTTTTCAGTCCACGACCATCATAATTTGGCTCGACGTGCAGCTCACCTTTCATGATTTTGCAGTTACTTGTGATAATATGGCACATTTACACATGAATCGCGCGAACAAAATGATACAACATGGCACATTGTAGTATCTAGTGTAGTAAGGAATCCATCTTTTGGAGCTCAATCAATTTGAGCAGGTCAAGCTTTGATTTCAGATGCAGTTTGCCTGGAGTTGCAAGGGCTTCAATACATTTTGGTTTACTTGGCATGACCATGGCCATGTCTGTCTCAGGGTAATGGTGATGATTGATTTACAAGAGACTGGCTGGTTTTTGATTACCTACATACTCCATCTTGCAGGTAACCTGAAAACTGGTTCTGTTTTCCGTGCGCAAGCGCCCGCAAGCGCCCGCAAGCACTGCCATTTTGTGGGGCTCATGACATCCCTCACAGCATTGTGTCCAGGTGTGGCATGGGGAAGCTGCGTGGAACCTGCTTTGGCTTCAAAAGGTGTATTGCTGATTGCTATAATTGGTGCTCCCGCATTGATAGGTACTATTGATTGCAACTCTTGGTCATTCTGTGCCATGTCTTTTTCAACTCAGCTCACCAACGACAGAGCGCAGAGCTTGCCTGTAGCCTTTTCACGCGCGCAGTTGATGCCATTTGGCTCAACTGAGAAGGCCAGCAAAATGGGATGAGATGAGAGGTGTACGGATCTCTGGCATTGCTTGCTACGTCGGCGCAAAACATGGCAGATCGCGAGCCCTTTTCTTGTTTGTATTACTAAAGGCTCCCATTCGTCCTGTAGGCAGAGAAGAGAATTGAGCACTGAGACCTCATTTTGTGTGATTGACCTCAAGATGCATGGTAGGAACCTGCACATGACACGGGCCAAAGACTGACCAAAGACTCACTGACTTCTTGTTTCACTGGCCGAGGTCTCGAACCCGCACCAAGCGGGGCCGAGGGCCTAGACGCAACCGGAGCGGAGGGCGTAGGACGAGTCCTGGAGCACATGGAGCAGGGATTCTGGCGGACGGATGGTCTTCGTTCTTCTGTTTTTAAGAGGTCGCCCTTTTTGGACCTCTTTCCATTTCTCCGTGGTGTGAGATCGGTTCTGGTGGTTGACCAAGGTTCTTGCCTGGGGAGTTGGGATCCTTAACTCCGCGCTTGGTGCCTCGTGCTCCCACTTCGCCAAAGGCTGCCTTTGGAGTCTGGGCCGTGGGTGGGCATGGGCCGTGTGGCCATGCCAGTTCCCTGCACAGCTCAAAAATAGAGGATTGATCTAAGGGATCTGTTTTTTTTTAATGTTTATGCTTTAAGAATCAATTAAGGGATCATGAAAAGGATAATGAAAAGCGCTCATGTTGTTCAATTATGCACACACACACATAAATACAGCACTGGTTGAGGGCTCGGTTGGAAGATCCCTTTGGCTATATTAATGCGTTTCCCTATGTTATCCGTTTCTCACCTAGGTATACATGATTCCGCCGCACAGAAGTTCGCACAAATCAGATTTGTGGGGTGATAACGATTTGTTTCTTGCGAAGACGCTTTTTCCGAAAAGAATTCAGATCAACTCCCAGAGCTAAATTCCCTCGAGGCGGTGCGGAAGTTGCGGCATCACTCTGAAGTGCCGAGCAAAGAGGTTGCTTTGCTGCACATTGTGAGATTCGGCAGTCACAGAGAGGAGCACAAATCGTGATCAAGCGCAAGGGCCGAGAGAGGATCAACTCAGTATTCTGTGACCAGTTCTAGCTGCTGCTGACTTGGCCCCCAGGTTCTTCCTTTGGCTGCGTTGCCACTCTGGGTTGGTGTCGGGCCTATGTAAGAGAACCGTCATTTGTGTAAGCAAGCCATAATCACCAGAGCACCGCAGCAGCATGAAAACACCGAGGCACAGCGACTTGTGAGGAAGTGCCAGTGAAGAGCATCAAAGCAGTAGCACCTTGGTGAAGTTTGATGTGAATCAGATGGATCCTGGATGGTATAATTTTATGAAGACGGATCAGATGAATGCTTAAAGCTTGTTGCATGAAGTACAACAGTCTCCATGTGATTTCGGCGTCCTGGTCCTCCCAGTCGGTTTGCCTGTCAGGTGCCGGAAGACCTGCATCAACATGCTGCAGTCTCAGCAGCTAAACCTTTGAGTGGCGACCTAGTGTTGTGTAGATGTATACTTCCCAACAAAGTCAAGCTCGCTAATGAGAGAACTCTCCCTGAAAAGATCTTGAAATGTTGTTTTATGCAGACTACCATGGATGACAACGCATGGAAGCACAGTGATAGCTGTGCGACAGAAGATCGAAAGGAATAAAGTATCCTATGCAAAGATGGAATACTTTGCAGACAATTTGGAAGATGTGTCCACATTTAAAAACATCGAGGAAGACGTGTCCTTGATTGACGAAGCAGAGGCAGATGCTTCGCAAGGTACTCGGAGTTTTTCTTTTCTCAAAGGAGCTCCTTTCTTCTACTTTCTTCATGACAAGCAAGCCAAGCCAAGGTTCTGTTCCGCACACGAGCGCTTCGTAGAAGCAGCTGAAAATCTGGAGCAGGAGGGTTGGAGACATGAGTTCAAGTACAAATCCATCCGTTTTCCATCCTGTTTAGGCCATGAAGACACTTTGCAACTAACTGTATAGATACTGTAGTAGCTTGAGGAACATGAGCACTTTGTGTTATGACATAGGACCTAAAACATATTTTCCATCCGCCACGTACCGAAAAGGCCATCAGCATTCGTCAGCAGCTTCTTGGAGATGACCATGAGGAGACGACAGCGCTGTGAGTCTTCGCTTCGCAAGGGTGTTTGGAACAAAGTCCCACATGGATGCACAACTCTTTGGCCTCCTTGAGGGCGACTTTTGCTCTACTAAAAGGGCTTATTCCAAAACCGCAGTTCAACAGCATGAGTGAAGACTCGAAATGACCAGCCTGGCGACCGGCCTGGCCGTTTTGACCGCAGTCGAAGGATTTTCCTGAGAAGACGGGGGGGAACATGACGAACCAAACCCCATAGCAGTCTGTTCAACCAAGCAAACATGACCAAGCTGATGGATCCCGTTGCAGAAGAGATCGTTGTGACCGATCTGGAAAAAGATTCACCTGTAAGACAGTCAATCTTGTGGACGAAGAAGAGATGATTTTAAGATCTTTTATATACGTCTATCTATTTGTTTGCCCTGGAGGTTGTTTCTTTGCAAATTCTTCTCTGTGATAGAGTGCTGAGTTACTCAGTGAGGAGTTTCTACGGTCCATTGAAAGCTACGTCGGAAGCCAAGATGAAAAACCGCATCGGCTGGACAACAACCGCATCATTCGTCGGCATGGCAGGGGAGCGAATTTTCAGCCAATGCGAAACAGCATGATCAAAGGTTGTGCACGGCTGTTGGATGGTGTAGCACCCATTTGCGGGTACATATTTGGCCCCAATGATTTCAACGGAACGGAACGTTTGGCAAAAAAGCAAGTCAGTGCTTTGTCAGTTTCTCGTTTGGCGGACTCTGGGCTCGAGTTCAAAGTTTGTTTTTTGTGTTGTTTTTTGTGCTCATTTCCGCCTTTAGCTCTTTCACTTGTCATTTGTTTTCTCCAGCGCAATGGGTAGCAAGTGTGCTGTGGTGGGAGCCTCAGTATTCATGTTGTCTTTGCGGCCATGGCAAGATGTTCAAACGGGAAATTCTTGGAAAAGATCATCGCTATTAGGAATTAGGGAGGCCATCGCTATTAGGTTGGAGGCCATCTCTATTAGGTTGGAGGCCACCGCTATGAGGTTGGAGGCCATCGCTATTAGGTTGGGGGCCATCGCTATTAGGTTGGAGGCCATCGCTATTAGGTTGGAGGCCATCGCTATTAGGTTGGAGGCCATCCCTATCAGGTTGGAGGCCATCTCTAAGAATGCTGCTTGCGTCCTCAAGTCTAGCTGGCAAAACCAATTGAAGACGAGGACGTTTCTGCGAACCTCCGGGCACCTCGAACACCTGTGTGCGATGCTGATTCAGCATTGCGGCTGAGAGCACTGTGCCTAGAGCCGCCGCGAGCATCTTTGCTGAAGCTCAGGAAGATCATGAAGGCGTGGGCTTGTAGACCCTGGCCCTCGTCACTTGCTTTCAAGTCTAGATACGATTCCCTTCAAAAACTTTCGGTTTGTAACTATAAAGTTGTCAACGATCCCTTTCTGTGAGCCTGTGAGGAGGATTCCATGTGCGCAGAGAGACAAAGCTCAGCCGAAAGCACTCTCCAGTCCTTCCGCCCTGGCCACGTTTGAACAAGGAGATGCATCAGTTGACTGTGGTGCCTGCAGGGTGCCTAGTAGCATCCTTTGCTCCTAGTATTAAGGCCAGGAGCCCCTACTAACTTCTTGTTACTAGTAGCGATGCCCTTGTCGATGTTTCATTCGTTTGCTTTGATGTTTGAGTAACGTTCATGCAAAAACAACCATGGTAGCACCCGGTAGCACCCTTTCAGCGACTGAGGACACCAAGGCTTTTCCGGCCATCGCGAGCTCTAAGACGACCTGTGGTGTGTCATGCTCATTTGGCCAGAATCAAGTCACCCAATTTTAAATGCACCTTTCTGCATACTGAAGGCACCATCTTATGACTATTTTCTGATAATGACTACTGACTACTGACCAACCAGTAAAAGTGTTTGTGTTGAAAGCCCTGATGAGTGCCGCAATGTATTTAGAAAGTTGCTGAGATCACTTTTTGGCAGATAGGCCCTTCGATGTTGGGGTTTGCGCGGGCCTGTTTCAGTGAATTTAGAAGCAATGGGATCTTGCAACGTGTGCCAAAGCGATTCCAGACGTAGGAGTAGGAGATCATCGTTTTCAGCGAGATTTTGACAGCCTACCTGAAATGTATACCATAAACATCCCAAAGCATTCACGCTGTTTGGGGCCAGCTCTACTTTCCGAAGACTGGAAATCAAGTTCCCCTCCTGAACTGCCTTCAAACTTGACGTGTATGGCATATGGTGTTGTGTTCGGACGAACAGACTCAACATGACTCAACTAAACAGGCACGCGCGTTCCATGATTGGCGGGAATGATTTTCAGAGTCAGCTCCAAACTTTGGAAACAAAGGGCCAAAAAGCCCTTGTAGACTCTCACGATGTTGCATCGAATTTGAACTAGATTCTAGATAGATTCTGGAGCCATGCGCGCTCAAGGTAATTTGTCGAGGGTGTGCCAACACTGTTCTAAAGCCGAATCCGATTGTGATGCTTCTTGTACTTGTATGTAACGGCACCCCCTTGCAGCTTTTGTGTCCTTTGCTTTGTTTTACAAGCAGAATCATTCGCCGATCTGACCACACCTGGCTGGCCAGGCCAAAAGACGCATCTTCATGGATTTTCCGGATTTTTGCACTGCGCATCGAATGCAATGTATCAAGTATCAAGCTAAAAGCACCTGTTTGATGTGCATATATATATATATGCAAGTGACAAGCACTTGAGTCGGTTGAACACCAATTAGGTCCAA